AACTATAGTGACCTTAATGTTGTTGAAAATTTCAGAAATGTGTGTGGGAGGTTCTGGATTCTTAATTTGGTCCTCCCACTGCCCTCGTTTTTGTATTCTAATGTTGAAAATGTTTGAATTTTTGATTGAAATTATAGAAAAATTTCTTTCGAATCCTATAACTGATGAAATTAACATATTGCATTAAAATTCATGAAATTGTTTGACTTTTTATGATGTAATAGGAAAATTGACCTACCTAATAAATATCTCTATGAGAATATTACATTTTGCGAAATTACAAATGACATCTCCCATTCGTTTCGTATATGATAGATTTGCCATTTAGGCGGACGGAAACAACATTTCAGAATAAAATTATTGAAAATGAATTTGTAGCCGTTTCAATTTTAAAAAATTCATGGAATCTGAAATATATTAACGCGTTTGTTCTGTGTGCGTGTGTGTGCGTACATATATATTTAATGAAATAAAAAAAAATTATGGCAAATTTCCAGAATTAACTTACGTAATCAAGATATTAGTAGTGTTTGGGGAAGAATTAGAACATTTGCTCGTCAGGTAGCGAGATTAATTATATAGAGTTGTTTAGGATTATATATTATTATATAGTGTTATATACGTTATATAGATTTATATATAGTTATGTAGAGTTATTGATTATATAGTGTTATATATGGTTGTTTATATGTATGTATATATAATATATTTATTGTACGTCTATATTTTGAACTCTTGCGAAAAAATTTAAACTTAAATAAAATTAATTACTCGTTTTATAATAGGTTTATATAATGTCAGAAAGTTTCAAAAGATCGCTCGTTAATGTCAGCTTAGCTTGCTAATTGTTGTTGTTATTTTTGTTTAACCCTTTATTTTCTAATTTCACACAGACATACTTGATAACATTCACACTCACACATACATAAGAACATACATAACCACATGCGTGATGTTTTTTGATCTGACAAAAAACACAGCAGAGGAGCCGACCTTGACATATAAAAATTTTTTAATTTCATGCACACTAACACGCACACATACATTCCTGCTAACTTGCTAACACGCATAAACAAACACATACATTATCACGTACATGATTTTTTTGATTTAGCAAAAACACATCAAAGAAACCGACCTTGAAATTTGAAAAAATTTTAAATTAAAATTTTCGCGCTAATGTTGTTAATCATTATACAAAAACATATCAAACACAGCAGACCAAACCAGTCAATCAGAATTTCTTTTGTTGTCGTTGGAGGAAATGACGTCATTTTAAATATTTTGGCGTTGTATTCAGTCAGTCAGTCAATCAACCAATAAACCAGCCATTTATCATTCATTCAATCAACCAATCAACTTATTAATGAACCAAATTGAATGAACCAAATGAACGAACGAATTATGGTGAAACAATAAAAAAATTATTTGCAAGGCTTGCAGAAGCGCAAATCAACATTTAATTGTACATATCTACAAACACTTTTGAGATTTTAGTAAGGAAAGAAAAACACAACAGTTGCTTTTATTTGACATCAATCAAAAATGAAAAATGGCGGAAAATTTAAATTTAAAAAATATCAATTTAAAAAAAATTTGGATTTAAAACAAATGTTAACACACGTCAGTCGTTCACGAAGAATGATTCAAGTAACACGAACAATTAGTAAAAACGGTTCACAGCATATCATAATGATACCGAACATAAATTATTTATACATGCATACAAAGAAATACAGAAAATATCCAAAAATTATGTAACCAAAATATAAAACTAGAAACTAGCCAACATTTTACAAATAATAAATAGATAGACATTATTAAAGATTGATCAAAAAGGTAAAATTCAAGGCGGCGACGAAAAAAAGTAATGTGTTTTGTTGGTGTGGTATTGCGATGCGAAAACAAACAAAAACATCACAAAAAACTAGTAAGAAGTCGCAAGAATAGTAGTCAGTCACCTACCTACAATTAAATTACTCTCAGGGCCCTAGCTTACCTATAATGATTAACTCAACTTACCTACCTACCTACCTACCTACCTACAAATTTAAATTTCAAATTTTACATGCATCAACTATTTGGTTTACATTTTTTAAAGTTTTGATTTTACTTGAAACTTTTTAACTAATGTTGAGCCCTGGCCTACCTACGATTGTTTAACTCATCTCAATTCCTAACTTACCTATAAATTAAATTAAAGTCCGGTAAAGAGGATAGAAAGTTGAAGAGAAACATAACAACAACGACACCGAATGAATGGATGTCGCGTATGTATGTGTTGTATTGATATGTGTGTGTGTGTATAAATGTGCGCGCGTGCACTCTTCAGAAACTTCTCCACTCACTACGGACGAACCCCCTTGCACGGACCATCATCTGAGACGCACCGAATAGTCGTTCTGGTTAATGTTTTCTTCGAATTGTCATCGGAACGATCATCATGAGACCACCGTCTGAAACGTGCTGACTCCCACCACTGCCCACCTCTCATCATTCTGTAGACAAATTTTTTTTAGCGTAGTAGTAAATGAATGTTAGAACGAAGTAAATGAATGAAATAATCAATCAATCAAACCATGATTCAATGTAACAATATATGAATAGAATGAATTAATGAATCAACTAATGGATGAATAATTGTAAAGATTGAGTGAGAAAATGAATGAATGAGGAAAATAAAAAATCTAAACTAAACTTACTTCACAAATTGTCGTTACTGAACTTCATTGCACCGACCACCATCATCTGGTCGGCATATAAGACGTCATCCGAACTGCAGAGTTTCAGTCGAACCAAAGAGCTGATTCTTCCTCACCACCATCATGGGACCGCCATTTGAAACGTACTGACTCCCACCACTGCCCACCTCTCATCATTCTGTAGTCAAATTTTTTTTAGCGTAGTCGTAAATGAATGTTAGAACGAAAGAACAAACAAATAAATTATTGAATAAATAAATGAGTGAATGAATGAATTAATCAATCAATCAAACCATGATTCAATGTAACAATATATGAATAGAATGAATTAATGAATCAACTAATGGAAGAATAGTTGTAAAGATTGAGTGAGAAAATGAATGAATGAGGAAAATAAAAAATCTAAACTAAACATACTTAACAAATTGTCGTTACTGAACTCCATTGCACCGACCACCATCATCTGGTCGGCACACAAGACGTCATCCGAACTGCAGAGTTTCAGTCGAACGAGCTGATTCTTCCTCACCACCATCATGAGATCACCATCTGAAACGTGCTGACTCCCACCACTGCCCACCTCTCATCATTCTGTAGACAAATTTTTTGTTATTAGCGTAGTAGAAATGAATTTTAGAATCTCAGAAGCAAAAAATTGCAAAATAAAAATAATAGCAAACAATATAAAATAATAGGGCAAACTGTAAAAAAAATTTACCGTGCCTTCCGGTTCCTCCTACGTTGTCCTCCAAAACTGGTGCCAGTCCTCCTCCAGATTGTTGTTGATAGAGAAAGATAAAGAGAAGATTCTCATCAGAAAGCTTAGCGGTGCCTGCATCTCAAATTGCTTAATAAAAATAATCTTATCTACCTATTCAATTACCTTAACTAATCTATATTAAATTGTTAATGGTACGATAGTCGAAAGTCCCCCTTCATTCTCCCTCCTTGCACAGAGGTTCACCGACAACCAGGGCACCGGATAGTAAACCATTGCCGTGCGGATAGTAGACTACTGCCTTGCGGATAGTAAACCATTTGCCGTCCGGAAGCCGTGCGGGTAGTAGACTATGGCCGTGCCGCATAGTAAATCATTACCGTGCAGATAGTAAACCATTGCCGTCCGGATAGTAAACCATTGCCGGTTCACCACTGGCCACCAAGGCTTACCTCTGACAAGAGACTTTGAAATCCAGAGTCAATCGGCTATCGTACCCTCAACTTACCTATTCATTACAATTAAGCCCTAGCTTACCTAAAATTACAAAACTCAAGAGCCCAATTCATTGGCCTTTCGGCACCCACCCCACCACCTACGTAATGCCTTGGGCTCCAACTTAGTAATAATATTATAAAACTTAAACGCTAAATCTATTAATGAATATGTGTTACAACGTAGCCTTAACTTACCTATTCATTACATTACGGTCCTAGCTTACCTAAAATTACAAAACTCAAGAGCCCAATTCATTGGCCTTTCGGCACCCACCCCACCACCTACGTAATGCCTTGGGCTCCAACTTAGTAATAATTATAATATAAAACTTAATAATTAACCTATCTATCGATACACTTACTGCGTTTTAACTTACATTACAAGATTGTTCCTAGAATTACATTATTGCCCTTAACTACCTATGAAATTAAATTACTCTCAACCTTAGTAATAATAAATTAGAATGTGTAATGAAAATAAAATTACGCTCAAATACTAACATATGTGTTTATGTATGTATTTGTGTGTGTGTAATACGCTGATGCGTGCAATGTGGGTGCAAGAAAAACATAGAAGAGATAAACTTACGCGCCTACCTATTCAACTACATTAGTGTTGGATGCTTCTTATCTATTATACCTACAATTAAAATTATGCTTATCTAACCTACCTATATAGCTACTTAATGTAATTGTGTGTGTGTGTGTGTGCGTGTGAGCATTCTTACTTAATGTTAAATTACAGAGAAAAACAAAGAAAAAAGAATAAAACGTATCCCAGCCAGGCGTGTGTTCTTTTCCACTGAATGAATGAACGTAGCCTGTCATATTCCACGATGAACTCCTCTGGAAGCTTCAACCTGAATAAAATGAAAAATGTTGTTTATTTAATTTAAATAAAAATAGAGAAACGAGCCGCGGTGAAACCCGCTAGCCGGAAAAGCCAGCCTACTGGTAAAAAAAAGAACCGCAGAGGAACTGCAAAGAAACCGTAAAACGAACCCCAGCAAGGCGTGCATTTTTTGCCACTGAATGAACGAACGTAGCGTGACATTTCAGCCATCCTGATCGTCCACGATGAAC